TAATCATTGTGCGATATAATCATGCTAGAAGTTGTTTGTTGACCACTCCATATTGGTAGTAATTAAACTAATACATGACCTTGAAAGTATTAACAAAGGTCGGTACCATAATAAACGAAAGTCAAACCTATTAGTTTAAAGGAACATTTAAATCTTCCAATTGATAACAAATTCAAATTTATTCATCAATTACCAAATGCTAACTGCTTCACATAATAAAATGTAACCAATTATGAGAGTAAAAGGGAGAAGGGGAGAAAAATAAATAAAATTAATAAAATTAAATAGAGTTACTTCGTTTTCTTCTTTTTGACACAAATAGAAGTTAATTGAGTTAAAAACTTTGAATAAGTAGGGTGTCTCAAATAAATTTTTGTCAGCAATGGTATAAAAAAAATTATAATTATAATTGGACAAATTCCTGACGTAAAAAAAATACCATGGATAAGATTTGCAAAACATTGTATTGTATTCATGATTACAGTTTGTAATTGCTTTTTTAAAAATTAATTAAGAAAAAAAATTGGTAAGAATTCTTGAAGAATCTAACTCTTGAGAAAGAATTATGAGAATTAATAATAAGCAATTAAACCAAGTTTCTTACTATGTTTATTTGACTCAAGAACCTTGCAAACCTTGTAATTTGCAAAGCTTTTACTCTGCATCTTGGCACGTTCTTTGATTTTATACTGAATTAATTATTATGTATTTTTCATATGTATTGAAAATTATAATTTTAGTTCATTCAATTCAAATTTTAATCATAAAATATTATATAATAATGCATGCAATGATTTCATGTTCGGATTTCGAAAGAACAATCATGTAGTAAATTATACAATATGTCTTGTCAAAGAAAGGAAATAAAAAAATCAATAAAATAGAAAGACTTAAGTATTTTTATTTTGAATAGTATTTACATTCAAATATTAAGAGTAAAACTTGTGTATTAGAACCCAACATTTACAAGCTGAATTTTGCATAATATAAATGGACAATACTTAAAAATATACGACAATTTTAATTAGTTGAAATTATAATTTAGGAACATCAAAAGATAACACACACATATAAATATATATATATATATATACACACACACACACATGTGTGTTCAATCCAAATACAAGATAGGTCATATTGAAGAGGAGGATCTAAACTCTCTAAGTCCACAAGATATTCATAGGACTACTACACAATGCCTCGATGCCAAGCACATCAATTATACAACCTATTGTATCACAAATAAAACTTTTATTCACCACAATAAACAAAGAAGTAGTTTATGAAGAAATAGTTTATAAACCACATCTCTCAACAGTTTTACTATAATACTTGTATATACATTCCTTGCTTTCGATGAGGAAAAAAGAGTCTCCACTTTATACCCCCCCCCCTTTCCCCAAGTGTGGGTTTCTTCCACATGAAACTCATGGTCCCTCCCAACAACTTTCTCATGGGCCATCCCTTCTTTATTCCACACATCCATATATGTATGTATATATATATATATATATCTATTATTCCTCCCTTTGTTGTTCTTTTTAATGATACCCACAATTGGCCTTGTAGGCATCGCCGTATTTAACCCTATTTCACACCCCCTATAGGAAACTGGAATCTTATTCTCCATTGGACCGAGACGATGACTATAGGGCCCCCACCCCCGACCCCCCTCCTCCGGTCCAGCTGTGCAGACGTGGCTGCGAGGGGCATCTCAAGGGACGTGACGTGGCGGATGACATGGACCACTCCCGCCGTGTTGCCAGGCTGTACATTGTGTCTCCCACAAGGCACGAGCCTCGTCCAGCAGACACGCTCGTGGCATTTCCAGCTCATCACGCCAACGTGTGGTTGTCCTGTCTCCATGAGGGCACACTATCGTCGCGTTCACATTAGCAGCGCCCGCCACGGCCCGGCCCCTTGGCTTCCGTGGGGACCACGCATCGAACCTCTGCAGACATTTTTTTGTTTCGCATTGAGTGACGTAGACATCAATCCTACTTTCTGTTCCTTTGTTTCCAAGTGGATCGTCCACGGAGTTAAGTCCCTGTTGATCTATTTCATGGAACACTGCTCTTTCTCAACGTGGGATGCAGTGCAAACCCACTACATTTTAGTTCATAAAGTGAAGAAACTGAGAGTGTTTTTGTGCTACTGATGCACAAGTTGTTAGGTTGGGAAAACCCATTAATGATTTGTGCCCCTTTTTTAATACCATTGTTTTTTAAATTTATTTTCCAATGCAGAAAAAGGTGAATGGTGTGCTTGGTGTGGAGGACAAGATGCTGCATTTTCTCACCTACCCAGCCCATCTTTATTAGTTTTTATACATTTTTCCTCTCTGCCAACTCAGCAGCCATGCTTATCATCTTTTTTCATTTTTTTTCTTCTTATGAGTTGGCATCACATGACTGATGCTCATACCTTGCAACTTGGCTTCCTGGGTATGATACAACTGGTCCCCCCCCCCCTCCCCCAAAAGGTTTATCATAAGCCTCCCAATGAAAGGAGCCTAGAAAGCAGACAAAACAAAACCAGGAAGAACTTAATGGCCATTCCTTCGAACTTGGAAAGGCAGACACCTTGAACAAGTGGATGTAGTCCATCCATATTATAATGGAAGGTATTCATCCATACGTGTTTCATCCTTGGGGTTGGTGGTGGCCTTTGGTGGATATGGCTAAATTAGGTTTCGATATTTGACCCTCCAGAATGGTGAGGCTGATGTCCCTAGAATTGCATGCAAGCCAGAATCTAGGCTCCCTGGGGACCTGGGGGCTTGATTCTCCTAGAGGGTGTTTCTAATTTCATTCACAAAATAATCCTCATTTTGGTGAAACTAGTTTGTTATGTTAAGAAAATGTTATCTTTGTATCATGCATAGGTTCTAGAATCCCCCTTCCACTTAGAGCCAATGTCAAAGCATTTCTTTTTCAGAAATTGAGTAAAGTCTCCATGAAAGCCATGAGTAGAAACATCAACAAAAAATAAACTCTTCAGCAAGCCTGCAAGTTTCCTGAAGGACAAGATTGAGGAACAGTAGTGCAAAATCATGCAATTCATCATTAAAATTGAGAGGGGTATGAATGTTGAAACTAATACCAACAAAACATTATGTCAAGTGTCCAAAGTGGCAGTGTCCACCAGATTAGAATTCAAAAACTTTCTTCCTCTCTGCATTTGATGTGCCTGCCATTGCTGGGTCCATTGAACTTCTGAAGACTTTAGAAAAACAAGTGTTGACTTTAAGAGTTGTAATGCCTCTATGGACCAGTCCATTGCCTTCAATTCCATTTCATACTGGGGGTGGCCAAGCATGGCTTTTGAAATTCAATTGTTATATGTTTAATGCCATCATCTTTACTTTTAAGCTAGTAAACATAAAACAAATTGTTCACCCAAAGAACATGTGTGTCTCTCTCTGTGTGTGTATGATAAATAAACAAATAAATATATCTGAATGTAATATCAGGGTGTAGAGCATTATAAAGCCTAGAAAGGAAGTACAAATTCACAATCAATCATTAGTACTGCCACAACTACCAATGAAACACACACAAAGGACCCCACAAAGAGCTTGTGCCTAGAGGCACTGCAAATGCCACCATGGCCCAGCTGGAGAGGAAGTGGAATGAGATTGGAACCAATTGTGAATGCCCACAAATGCAGAAAAGGAGCTTAATAGGATGGATGGGGAAACCCTAAACCCAAGCAGATGAAGAAGATGCATCCAATGCACATCTGCAGCAGGATATTCAGTTCATGGGACCCCTTCCTTGGTCTCTCAACTGCATGGGAGTGCAAAGCCTCAGGCTCTCATTCTCTTGTTCACTTGCTTTGGCTTTGCTTGTCACTAGCCTAACATGTGATCCTTTCCATGCATGCACTAGGTTATTAGCTCTGGCTTATTAAGAGCCACCACTATGACTGTATATATATGTATATATAGAAGTGTGTGTGTGTGTGTTTGTGTATTTGTATGTAATTAAAAGGCTGTCAATGTATTGTAGTTATTGAGTTAATTTCAATAAATTTTTGTGCAGAGAAAAGTTATTCATAAGAATAGCATGCATGGTTGTGAGAATTTGAAGACCATGACAAAAGTGGAGCACATTACATGTCATAGCTCTTTTGGGAAAAATGTGACTCAACTGTTTTATTGGCCTAAAATACATAACTGAAGACATTTATGTTGACAATTATCATGAAATAAATTATTTGTGTATGACATTGTGAGACATGTAATTAATCAATCATAAAATAAGGATAAGAATAATAATGACAAAACTTTGATGCAATATGGAGAACTGATTGAAATTTTTAGTAAAAAGGAAATGCTATAAGGTATCTTTTAAAACATAAACATCACCTCTCATATATAGAAAATCATATATTATAATTTAAATGAATACCACAAAATTGATGCAGTTTCTGTTCATATTTCTTTTAAGTTTCAATTTTACATTTGCACATGTGTGTGAGTGTGTGTGTGTGTGTGTGTGTGTTTTATTTTATTTTATTTTATTTATTTTATTTTCTCTCTCTCTCTCTTTTGTTTGTTTGAGTGTGTATCAATTGTGTTCTTTTCTATATTTTTCAGCAAATTTGTATTTTCTTTTTTGCTAGCTTGATTATATTAAGACTATGATGTGTAGTAATGGTTACATAATACACTTTTTTTTATCTGTTAAACCTGCAATAATCAATATATGTATTAAAATTTACACATTTATTAAATAAGTGTATATACAGGATATATATCATTTTGTCGTGGAATATGAATAATCTTGATCGATATATGTACATATGCATGAAAGCCCCAACATTCCATGTCGAGGAAATGTTCCGAGCTGGAACATGCCATGTGACGTGGCTGAGGATAAGATTCCTCCCGCGACCATGAACGGGAATGGGGCAGGGGGACGGGAATAGGAGCAACAAGCACGGTCAGGCGGTCACAGGCGCTGTTTCACGCAGCAGTAGAGAGGGGTAAACGCGGGCGGCAGGGAGTGTCAGAGAAGGGAAGAGTGGGGATGAGACTAGACTGGACGAGGCCGAGAGACACAGGTCCAGATCCACACTTAGGGTCGGTGGAATCGGAGGAATTGCGATTTGTGGGAGGACCACGCCCTTTCTGCGACGATGGTGAGGGGCAAGCAAAAGATCGAGGCTCAGAAGCGAGCTGCGGAGCGTAATGAGAAGCCGAAGGGCTCGCAGATTGAAGCGCGAAGCGCGGGCTTGAAAACGATTTGCGTTGTTTGTAAGGTGAATTTTACGTATTCGATTCGCTCTTATTTCTCTTGCTTTGGGGGTTCTTTTGTTTAGGAGTGTCGCTTTTGGTTCTTGGTCGGGTAGAGACGGTGCTGTTTCGGTGGATTGTGCAGTGGTTGCTTTTGTCTTAGGGCATTTTTGGAAACCGTTTGTGTCCTCGATTGATGTGATGTCTTATTGAATTTAATTTTGAGAACAGGGTTTGTGGTTTTTAAGGTTTTTTTTTTTTTTGATAGCTTGTTTGTCGTCTTCTTTCCTCTGATGAACTGATGTTTCACGAGGCAATTCTGTTTGCGTCAAAGAAGAGTTTTTTGTGTCAACCACTTGTTAGCATCCCAGGTTAGTAGCTGCTTTGTTTTCGGAACTTTCTCGATATTCTTTGTACCTGTGCGGTAGATACGTCGACATTTTAATGTTTGAGATGTTTGCAGGTGTTGGTTTGTGGGATTCTTTTGTAAGCTACGTGATAACGGTGTGCTATTTTAATATTCTTTGATTCGAAATTAGTTTCATTCGTACTTGCCCTAGTGTCCTAGTTCGATGAAGCCACTCATACGATAGTATTCGCTAACTTAATTCACCTGTTTTCAGCAGTTATCATAGAATAGATCGTTGTTTTATTTCAAGTCTGTAATCCTTTCACGTGGTTGCATAAAACCATGCTGGTGTACCACAGCTTCTTCTGAGTTTGCATGATATTACAATTTTTGAGCCAGTTTCCCGATAAGATATTTGATAAGGCCTGGGATGTTGCTACGCAGTCGGTTCCAAGGTCATGCTAATCCTCTAGCACATGAGTCTCCGTTGACATTAATGCGGCACAAGACCACAGCTATGGGATATGCGCCGAAAAAAAGTACTACTCATGTAATTACAGACATTAGGTCACAGATGTTTAGATCTCATTTAAATATTTTTATTGAGCCTAAGATCGTATGCATAACATTTGTGTTAGGAATTCTATACTCTTCATAGTCTTTGTGGCAATCTTGCCCTAATTTGGGCGACTGATATCTGCTAGGGTCATTGTTTCTTGTACTGCGTTGGAAGTTGTTGATTGTGTACAGCATGTATTGTACTAATCGTGCTGTGACCTTCAGGCACCTCTCGCAAATCACAAGCAGCTAGTGGATCACTATGGCTCGAAGCATCCCAAAGAGACGCCTCCACCAGCTCCCTCAACCTAGCAACACCTTCGATTTCTGAATTATGGAGTCACCTCTGGGGCTTTCGAAGCAAACATGTTAACCAGCTTCAAAGCTGGCATTTATGTAGTTGTAAATTTGTGAGATTATGGTCTGAAATCATGAGTTCACTTGTTAGTTTGGAATAAGGACCTGATTTATGCTACTAAAAGCTGGAATTCTCCTAGGTTCCGAACTTATATTGTGGACACGATATGCTTGGTTAATGGAGTTCCTGACTAAAAATTCAGTTAGGCGCTTCGCTTGAAGCCACAGTTTTGAAACGTGTCCTGAATACTGTGTGTGGCATAGTGTGCTGATCACATTGTTTTAAGAGTACCTACTCCGTCTCTTGCAGAATTCTCGTCTGCTACGTTATTTATTTTTCTCTTATTGTGCTTCAAACCATGGAATATGACAGAGTATTATAAAAATTCCCAATTGATTACCCACAACAATAGGGAACCACTTTCAGCGATCCTTCTCCGAAGGATAGAATTGTCCTAACAGTAAAATAAATTAATGCTTTAGATCATGGAGAACACGAGCCGACCTAGCTCAGTTGGTAGAGCGCGTGGCTTTTAACCACGTGGTCGTGGGTTCGAGTCCCACGGTCGGCGACTTGGCTTGAACGTCATTCTGATTGGAATTGATCAAGTCTCCCCCGTTGTCATATCGAGATTTCCGTCAATCTTCCCAAAATCCATGAAATTTTGTGTATTGTTTTCAACGCCATTCATTTGTACAAAACCTTCTAATTGTAGTACCTCTTACAGCATTTTGTGTATTGTTTCCTAATTGCTTTTTCAAAGTGCCCATCTTTTTTACTTGGTTTGAAACATCGATTATCATGTATATATTGATAGGCTTGAAGAAAAAATGAAATAAAATAAAATAAAATCTAAATTTATACGTCTACATTTAACATTAGTTATCAATAATTCATTGAATAAAAAACTATACAAATCTTTATATATAGATGTGTATTTTATTTATTTTATTTTATTTTATTTTATTTTATTTATTTTATTTTATTTATTTATTTATGTTATTTTGTTTTGTTTTATTTATTTATTTTATTTATTTTGTTTTATTTATTTATTTATTTATTTTGTTTTATTTATTTATTTTATTTATTTTGTTTTATTTATTTTGTTTTATTTTATTTATTTATTTTGTTTTATTTTATTTATTTATTTTGTTTTATTTATTTATTTTGTTTTATTTATTTATTTTATTTATTTTGTTTTATTTATTTATTTTATTTATTTTGTTTTATTTATTTATTTTGTTTTATTTTATTTATTTTGTTTTATTTATTTATTTTATTTATTTTGTTTTATTTTATTTATTATTCTTGTATTCTTTCTAACAGAAAACTATTTAAAAAATCAAATTTACAGTATACAAAGATAGCACCAACAAAGACAGCTTTATAATAAGAATTATGAATGGACATACAATCTATATTTGAAAGACGCAAAAAGTACAGAAGAATGTTACCAGAATCCCATCATTCTTAGAAGGCACATCACATTCTTCTGAATCAAACTGAACACTTATAGATTTGCAAAATCTTCATTTCAAAGACTCCTTACTTGCACAATTATGGATTATTTTCTCTATTATTCATATATACATTTCAAAACTAAAGTAATATCAATTACAAATTTAACATTTACTTATTTCAGGACGGATTTTTTTTTCTATGAACACAGCAATCGTTGTATTCACAAATTGTATGACAATACAGGACAATCGGAATACAATACAAAACACAACGCCAGCAAGATATTCACAGGATTAAGATTACTTTAGTTTAGGTTAGTTTTTATTTAATTATTATTAATTATTTAATTATTTATCATTTGTTCTAAATTTGAAACACATTCTCTCCTATTCCCTCCCTTAAATCAATTCCTAGTCCTGAAATTCAGCAGTTATCTTCATCTCCACCTCCACATCTTTCCATTTTTTAGAAGCAATAGAAAACGAATAAAATTCCATCCTCAATGCCGCTCTACAACCAAAACCATGCTTGCAAAACAATGTCCACTCTCAAGCCCATGAATATCCAAAACCATGCTTGAGCAAAATTGTGTACACAGAAAAGCAATATGAGATGTTGTCCAGGAAAGTGTTGCAACATGCACACACACACAGAGCTATGGCGTGTTTTCAGCGAGATGGGTCATGTCGTAGCGTCTACTGCAGGTGCGGTAGCGATGTTTGCTGTATTGGTGGGTTGAGTTCAGGCTGCCAGAAGTTGTGTTGAAGAACTCGCAGGTTGTACTTTTGGGTATGCGCCGAAAGCATAGATAGAGTCGCTGGAGTCTGTCAAGCTTCAATTTAATTGAGTGAAGGTCCCCATCTTTTGAAGCTGTGCATTTCGCGGAGAAGTTCTGCGCGGAGTAGTTGTTTGGGGTTGAGTTTTTTGTATTTGTGATGCTTCGTACAACGTGGGTGATGCGTTGCACAATGCCTGCTACTAATCGTTGGAATCGGTTTTGGGAATGAAAATTAGGGTTGGTTGTGAAATATGAGTGAAGTTTCTGTCCTGATTACTGGAGCGACGGCAGTTTAGCGATATTTTTCAGTCTTGGATTTTTGTCAGGGCAGGTGCATAGACAGCCCTGGGCTTGGTCATGATCCTGTAGCGTTGTTTCTTTTCAATCGATTTGTGGTTAGTCAGTGGCGTTAGATTGAATCAATTCACGGTATTTAAATTGGTTCTGAGGACACAAACGTTCTGAACATGAGTGGTGGAATTACATGTGTACGTTAGGAATCGGGCATCATCAAACGTGTGCAATTTGTGCACCTTGCAGGATTTCAAAGATGATGATAAGGGGATTGATGAGCATGAGGTGAAAGCATGTCTCAAACCCCAGAGCCTGCTGGAGCATTTTGGGGCTGTGTAGTGATTGCAGCAGCTGTTGCAGTTGGAGCTTTAACAATGGCTTATCAAAGCAGCAAAATAGCTGACCACATGATGACAACTATGACAAAACAGGGTGACCGCATAGCCAATACCTGTGAAAGGATGACCAACTCATCAGACCGACTGGCCATGGCTCTTGCTTGCCATGCAGACCGCCTCGCAACCACGGGAGAGAGAATCGCCTCTGTTGCTGAGACCATCGGTATCAACGTCAATTTCAAAAATGTATTTTCCCTCAACTCCAACTCCATTCTTTCAGATTAAATGATCTTCATTGTTCCCTTAGCAGACTTTGCATTGAAGGAAGGATATCAGTTATTCAAGAGACGAACTCACATGTTTGACATGTCTCTTTCCTCGAGGATATGCAGGACTGATTATAGTTACAAGCATTCAAGTCAAGGAAGAAATATTTGATCTCCATTTGTGCCTCGGTGAGAGCCTGTCCGCAACTTTGATGAGGATACCCTTTCAATATTGGTGAAACGGATTACATTCTCATTTTTTATTTATTTATTTTATTTATTTTAAATTAGTCAGCAATACTAAGTTTATGTTTCTCAAAATTCAACACCACAATGAACATGGTGAAATTTATAAAGGTTTTGAACTGCTACTTTGCAATCTACAATGTTGTCTGAGCACAAGCAGTAAAAAGGACAGGACCTGCACGATTATGTAGAGCATCAGCTCTGTTCCTAGAAAGTGAAGCTCTCAGCCACCCAAAGGGCAGTGTCAAGTATAACTTTGAACTATGGATATGTTTTTAACAACTCATAGGAATTGCCCTTGACAAGTGATGTCAATTCTATGTTTTTGTGTATGCATCACTGAGACATCACACAACCTACAATATTGGTAGAATAAGTAAATCTTTAATCCATTCTGGAACTTTGATGTGCATCTAGCATCCAAAAGCTCGCTTTGATTTACTTTAAAATAGTTCAAATGCAAAAATACGAATATGTTGTTAAGAAAGCAATTTAAATGCCCATGATTAGACACCTGCAAAGTTTGAAAATATATTTGTTGTATTTGTTATTATTTTCATTTTCAACTTTTTTTTTTTCGTCCAATTTGGAGTGATATAAAGAAAAATAATGTCAAAATAATTTGAAAACCACCCAAGATATGACTAAAAACTCTTCTTCAAGAGTATCATAAGAGGAAGAGAAGAGAAAGTTTGCAAAAATCTAAAAAGAATTTTATTTTGATTGGTCATTTTTCTTTTTTTATCTCTCCAAATTCAAATGGTGTCTTGGAAATTTTAATGTCCTTGTATTACCAAAGAATTTAAGAAGCTTTTTGAAATAATGCTTTGCGATGGCTTTACCTCTTACCAAGGTTTTGATGAACATTGTTGTTTAAAATAAGATCCAAAGAGAGTTTCAACTTCTAAAATCCATCCCAACCAACCAAAGGCATCTTACATTTGATATCCATTAATTTGGGTAGTTATATGGTCCAATAAGGGAACTTGGTTACCACTGCCTCCTCTATGGATCCAAAGAGCATTACAGAGCAACCAAAAACGATCCACAATAATGCCATATAAAAGTCCTAAATATACTTTTGCATCTATTGTTTTAAAATCTTTAAAATTAGTTTCAATATGTTTGAAAATAATATTAATGTCTTTATAAAACTAAAGTAGAAGACACTTAAAACAATTGGGTCACAAAGTGGTACTACTTTTGTATGATACTATATATATATATATATGTATATATATATAAATAATCAATCTTTCAAAATTCATTAAAATAGTCAATTTTTTTATCTATTAATACTCAATCAATTTTAGAAAGAAAAACATTTACTACTATTAAGGATTTTTGTGTATAAATTGTAAAATAATTCTTATTATATTTTTTAAAAATTAAAAAATCTTTTTATAAAAATTATAAATATATATTTTATTTAATTTTAATTTTTTTAAAATACTAAATCTAAGTTATTTATAAAATTTAATATTATGATAAAATAAATATATAATACTATTAAATCATAATAATAATTTATATAATAATTTAATCTAAAATATTTTTGGTAGAATTTAATTAATTAATTAATTAATATTTAAAAATAACATATTTTATCTTTTATACATCTATATAAAATACTCTTTTTATTAATTAAGCTTCTAAAAATTAATAATTCCTAATAAGTAATCAAACTTTTAAAAACCAATTCTATTCTATTGTAGCTAATTAACAATTTCTTGTTTCTAATAATTAATTAATTTTTATTTACTTTTATTAATTAAAAAAGATAATTCATAGAGGCCATGTGGATAGCAAGACCACATGGCTATACATAATTGGACAAGACAATACTATGTAGCTGGTAGGGCTATATGGCCACTATAGTAAAGACTAACAATCTATATTATAGGGCCTTGGAAAGGATAATTATTATATTACCTTCAACATGCTACCCTTAATGATTAATAACCTTTTATAATTGATATTTTTTGGTGCAACAAATAATATTAATTAAGAAGGAAAAATGTAAATCATGCTCATAACTCCACCAATAAATTCTCACAGAGATTTTGTTAAAAATCGTAAAATCAAAATTTTCTTCTATTTGAGTATCCTATGTCAAATTTACTACATATTTTTGCTAATTATAACCAAATTGTTTTACAAAGTAGTAAGATGCATCTACTTAGTCTTTATAAATGCTATTTTTTTTCAAAATCCACTACTTTCTACTTATTTCAACATAATTGGATTAGGATCTTAATTTGTCATTCTATTTGTCTAAATCAATGTGCATTTTCTAAAACATCAACAATAGTAGATGTGATTCCTTTATTACCTTAATTCTAAGGATTATACAAAAAATATGGCATAGCTCTTACTTCTTATTGGAGCATTTCAAGAACATTTCAATTGTGTGCCTTATAAAGTTGTCAGTCCATATTCTTACCACTTCATCCAATTGCTTGACAAGCCAATATCAATATGCTTCAAACATCAACTTTGAATACTCTCATATTTGTTATATGTATTTTTTTTATTTTTTTATTTTTTTTAATTTCAATTCTTTTAAGTATGTCCTAACATCTTCTAATATTGCATGGCATAATTATTGATAAACTTTGACCTTGTCTATATAATTGTCTATCTTTGATTTAAAAGACAACAAGTCATATCTTTACAAATTGCACATTTCATAACCTTGGGTTATGATTTTGTAGTTGATTATCACTAAACTTCAAAAAAAAAAAATATTGCTCTCAAAAAAACCTACTCCACAATAATAATAATAATAAAATAAAAATATTACCTAGAAGAATATAAGGGCCCATTTTTGCATGATAATGTTCAATGAAGAAATTAATGTTCAGTTGTGCAATAGAAATCTTCCACTTCATACCAAAAAAAAATTGAATTTGACACAATTTTGCACCTAAGTGCTAAAGTGCATGTGATATAGCAGAAATGAAAATACTGATTTAGTTTTTATTTTGGTTAGGATTTAGTACTTAAGATTTAGGATTCCGAAATACATAGATGTGCCTAATTTTTTGACCCCCCTTATTTTTGAATTTTCACTTGATCTATTGTTTCATTTATACTATCTAAAATTCCAATAGTGAAAATAACTTCCTATACAAATTCTTAGTTTGTAAGATATAGCTACTTTGACTCAACATTTAGAATTGACTTTTTTTATAAAAGAATTTTTGAAAGTTTTATAAAACAATTGGGTCTATTTAGAGATTGCCCATTCTAAATATGTGATTAAATTGGGTTTAAGATTAATTTATTATAATCTAACAATTTCTTTACTTCTTAATTTTTTTAAAATTTAATTATACATCAAATGAATACATACATGCACATGTATATATTAGTATTAATTTGTATACATACATACATACATATATATATATATATATATGCATATGTTGTAGAAATCAATTCTAATTGTATGTAAACTAAAAACATGATAATTAAGAAACATACTTGATTTACAATTTAATGAGATTTTGTATATAAAAAAAATACAAAAAAGAAAGAAAAAGAAAGTTATATTTGTTTAAGAATATACTATTTATAAATATGTACATGCATGTATATGTTTGTGTGTATATGTATAATTGAATTCAACTTAAATGAAAAATGAGATTCCAATGCACATCACAATATTATACTCAAATTAGTCATATAATTACGAATTCACAAAGGTAATAAAATTTATAAACTATAATGTGTGCAGAGGATTGTAACAAGATAGTAACGTTACAAGCAAATAGCATTCAAGGGACGGCATATAAGGAAAAGTTGACAGATGTAAGCAGGTCAGTAATCACACATTCTAACAACTTTATTCTTAAATAAATAAATGTATATATAAATATATAGATACATATATTCTTATCCAGAAAAAGGTGAAAGAACGATTTATGAGTCATAGTTGTAAAAAAGTTAAGTTTAATGTATATGATATCAATCAATTCAAGACATAATCGATCAAGGATTCCACTATTAGACCAAACTGATTGGTACTCAAAAAAATGAACCAGAATTATTCCAGCTACAGTCTCATGTTGATGGACAGGCTTGTTGGGACTTGAAGGCCCTGGGAAGGTCAAGACTGCAATTAAGAGGGGTCAGTACACCTCCGGCTTTCATTGTGCTCCAGATCCTATGACGACGAAGATCTTAGTCTCCATGCGAAAAAGGATAATAAAAACATGAATGAAAACCAACACAAAAACAATAAATAAATAAAAACGAAGTAAGAACTCGTGCCAGTTATACTCAGAGCCTCACAAAGTTCAGCATGTTGAACAAGCTAATTCTATATTTCTCAACAGAATCATATCTGTTTTCTCAGGATAATAAACAAAATCCAATCAGAAACCTTCCATGAAAGAGAATGTATAAAATACTCCACCTTCAAGATGCTCCTCTACCTGTTGTCTTACTTTGAATGATGTAGTCGCTAAATCCAGTGTGTAAAAATCTAGTGATTAAATCGAGTGGATGCCAATGACTCCAGAACTGGCATGTCCAGTGGATTCAGCTACTGTTGGGGGGGGGGGGGGGGGGGGGGATTTTGACTGGAGGTTGCTGGTGGTGGCAACTTTCGAACGATTGTTATGTCTGCTTAAGCTCTGAATTAGCCTCCTCAACTGGCTTGCTATCAGGACCAGTCTCTCCAGCTCCAGCCAGCAAATGGTTCAGCTTTTCTTCTACTTTCAAAATCTCGGGGTTTGGTTGACCAGTGCGGGTTACACACAACCATTTCACGGGTGCGGAAACATCCTCACCACCGCTCTTTGGAATATGCCAGGACCCACTTACAGATTCCTGCATTCGTACCAACAGACATCATGATTTGGGAGTGGATTGATTTATGATTTTAGGATTATTTTTTAATTTTTTAAAAAAAGACAAAAGAAATGTGGTGAAAACAAAGCAACCATAGACCTAAGACTTTTGTAACAAGCCTCATTGAAGGTGTACCTTTCAACTTCCTATCCTCCATCCCAAGCCTACAACGCTGCAATTTTAAGCATCGCCGTCTACTTTCACTTATGCCATAAAAATAATACAACAAAAAATTCACACATGCTCCTTTCAGAACTGCGTCTTCTCATCGATAAAAAGGTGAAACTTGGCACCTGGATTAACATGGAGTAAGGAGGCGGCATGTGGAAAACTGGACCCTCCCTGCTGAGCGAAAACCGAACCTGTTCATTACCAAAACGTTTGTCACGCAACTATTGGCATATGTTTACCATATTAGGCATTCAAGAGTGAATAATATATAGTTCATCTGATGATTGTGTAGAGGACGATTTAATAGTAGCCAAAGAGTGGAATATAGGTGAAGAAAAGCATCGATTTAAATTTGTTAAGTACCTGATGGCGTTCTTTCCACCTAGGAAAGAAGTCGTTCCCAAGCAGCTGGAACAAGTGATCACGCATTTCGTCATTGGTCACAAGAATGCACTTGTACTTAACTGCAGCGAATAGCCAATACCTGTCAACAGGTACAACCTAAGATACAAACACATGGGTGGAATTATCTAAAGCCCGAAAAGACTATTGATATTCAGATACGCACAAGATATCAAACGTCCAAACCAACTTTCACGTCAACATCAAATCATCGAAGGACCATTGAGAGACCGCATCACCTATGATGACAACAGAACTGCAGCAAAAACAGAATAAACAGGTTTCGTGGCACACACCAATCATCGTTTGATCCTGTAGGCGTTGTATAGATGGCATGCGTCTCTTGCCATTTGTTAAGAATTTTAATGGCAAAAGAGGAACTTGCAGGCCCTCCTCTGGTTCGCCTGTGATGTAATAATATAAGAGGCTCCCTCTTCGAACCTACCTTTTCTTTAATTCCTTTCACCACGGAGTTCAGCTGAAATGGAGCAGGACACAAGTTAACAGACGGCACTGATGACTTGAGTTGCGGAGTCGAATAATCCATGCAGCACGTACTTGATTATTACAAAAGATAAGTTCCAGCACATACCTGGTGGAAGTTGAAGCCACCTTCACCAAAATTTTGGTTGAACAACCCAACGTTTGCTCCATCTACAATAACATCAAAAGGCCCATGTCGGTCAAGCCAACCCTGCAGCAATGTTCACCAGAGTATATGATTAAGCCATCAGTCCACATATCTTGAGCAGAAGATCAGGATCAACTCAACACCTTGTAAACTCCCAAAATAACAATTTCTTTTGAAATACCTGAAACTTTTTAAACTCATTGCTTTTTCCCTCTCGCTGACAAGCCAACTCTGACAAGGATTTGGCGAACATCACTGTCTCTTTTGGGTCGATATCGATTGTAACAAGCTGCTCTCCGCATTCTTGACAAACGCCATTCGCATCAAGTTCACTAGGTTTGACTTCCCATGAACCTCGACCCAGCCAGCCCAGTCCGTGCCACCCACCGCCGCGGCTCTCATAAGCCGCTTTCACTGTCTCTTGGCTCGGCAAAGAATTCCAATTTGACTTGCCAGCGTTTGCACCAGCGCTACTTTCAAACCACTGCTGAACTACTCCAGCAGTAGATGGTGAAAGTCCTCGAACAGTAGTTCGTATGCGATGCAAGAGAGGATAGACTTTGTCTTCAAGCCCTGCATCAGCTGTCAACTTTAAGAGCGCCTCCAATTCACTTTCTTCAGGCTGGACGCCGGCTGCCAACATGTGCTCGTCAACCTCAAATGCCTTCTCAATATTCTTCAATTTGCAGTAAGTGTGCAGTGCAGGACTGTATGACCTCAGCCTAAAACACACAAGCAAAGGTTAGGAGACATACTACGGTGCTAATTACAACACCTTTACCGATTCTCTGGGAATCTAGTATGCTTGTACGTTCACACCGTTCAGAATACTATTCAATAATCAAACGTGAACTATAAAGAACTAATGAAATTCCAATATTTTGCCTGGGAGAAATCTTAGCTTACCTGGGAGAAAGCTTAGCTTTTGCCATCTGCTTAACCATGTCAAAAGCCAGGTCGCCATCATCCTTCGCCACTGCAAGTCGTGCTACGGCAGTAAAAGTTGCTTCATTCGGAGGCACTCCTTGCAACTTCATCGCTTCATAGACAGCAAAGCCCCGTTGAAGACATAACTGCTTCTGTTCGTCTGTCAGTACGACTTCCTCAGAGGTATCCACCTCAACATTGGAATGAACCTTCTGTTCGTCACTGACACTATTCGTCAATTTCTCCTGCGCATTGCCTAGCGTATCACCAACATTAAAACTCACTCACGCAAATGCTGGAAAAATTTACCAAGAATTATTTTCAAATAATGGATCATCCAACCCAGGAAACGGTACAATCAAAACCCTAAACCCTAAACCCTAAACCCGAAACCCTGACGTTGAGTTCATGCAGAAACGTAAATTGGTGGTGCACATTAAATGTTGGAAAGCAATGGCACTGAAAAGGAGACTCACTCTTCTGCCTCTCGCTATTTCCACTTTTTCCGCGCTTAAGTGAACCTGTCGCTCCGGAAGAGCATAAGTAGAGAAGCACATTGTAACTGTACTGATTGAAAGACATCTTTCCTTCAGCAACCACCTTATCATAGATTTCTATAGCACCCATAGCATCTGCATGCTTCGAACACATGTCGATGGACCTACGAAGCTCCGATTCGGCCGGATCCCTTTTCTTCTTGGACTTCCGTTCGTCCCCATCTTGTTGGTCATTCGGAGCGGGTCGCTTAGCATTCTGCATCTTGATATTACGTCTCTCGAATTGACAAGCGCCCTGCAGAGCCACTTCAAGAGAGGATGTAAAAATTGAGTATCATCCAGTTCCAGTAGCAACACAGCTAAAATCGTGGGATAAAGCTATGGAAAGAAGAATAGAAAAATGAAAGGAATAGAATCTGTTGAGTATGATGGACTGAATGCCAACCGGATGATTTTGCTCCCCTACAAGCGCCGTAGATGCGGCAACTGAAACGATACGTGCGATTGTTGGAGAAAAGCCTGCTCTTTGAATTCTTCCAGATTCTGAACTTGGAGCTAAGGTATTCAAAAGTCACCGCCGCATTAACAGGGTGTCTATCATTTTGCTCTTCCTCCCATTTATCAAATTTGATAGCTCAGTAATCCATGCTTCCAGCACCTCTTACGATTTCATTTCTCTTTGTAATACCGACTGCTAAAACTAACACCAGTACAGCAAAACAAAGCCTTGCTATGGTGTAGACCTAACCTGAACCCAACGTTCTACTTGAAAAAATCGTATAATTCTCAGATTTTCCAGATTAGCATCTGCTAAAACTACCTCCAGAATCTGAAGGAGACGATATGGTGTCGAAAAGCTGCTTTCAAACCACATATAAACCTCAACATATGAATATGTAAAAAAATGCCACCTTCGTACTACAAGAAAACATTTTTCGCAAAAAATACAAACCTTGTATAGACAACCAACAACGAGAAGGCGATAAGCATTGCAAGGCGATAAGCCTTTCTTCAAAATTACAAAGTTCTGCTAGGTCCAGACATTGCCCCAGCTGTTTCGAGAAACTCTACAAAGGGGTCGACGGGAAACGGTTGCTAACCACTGCGTCTGACTTCGTGGGCTACACCCCACAAACGCAACCACCAGTCAAGTGCGACTGAGCTTGCTGGCTCGCTCCTCCCACCCAAAACCTCACTCAAAGCACCCTCCCAACTACCGTTCCTTGCTTTCAAACTTCCTCCCGACGAAATGCTCAAACTGGACCAACTCCCGCATCCACTCGCTGCACAAAAACAACAACACATTCATCCCATATCCTCCTCTCCCAAGCTCAAAAACCCTACCAATTCAGCCAAATGGGCTACAACACAGCACCCCGCATCAAAATAACCCCCAAAACAGCCCGTATTGCATTGAGAATCACCAAGAGGTGCAAAATGAAGACGCAGTTAACCTAATCCGCAACTGCAAGGGCAGTAAAATGGACACGAGAAGTGAGAAAAAACAACGACGAAGTCGAGCTCCATGGAATTGACAAAGCAACAATCGCCGTCGCATAGACCGAGGCTCACTGGCGAGAGAGACGTCGTTCCCCTACATGGATACTACGGGGAACACTGGGAACATGGAGAATGCTTGGGAACGTTTCAGATTCGCTGCGCTTTGGACTATTCAGCTTTTGATTCTATTCTGTCCATAAGTAGAAAGAGCTCCTTGTATTGCAATTATATTTGCTATTAATAGAAAAAGTTGCAAAAAATTTATTGGGGTAGTGGATTTGTGATTTGTAGATTTGGTCTCCCATAAGCTTGAATTGATTGGTTGGGTGATCTTAACATTGTCTAGTGGAAAATAGAATGTTGGATAATCCTCCCATTTTGTTTGATAATAATAGTGATGATAATGTTAATAATAAATTGTCTTTAACGTGACTTGCGTTGTGGACTTAAGAAAATGGGGATAGTTATTCGTGGATCAATGTTTTTGGGGATTTCTGGGATTGATTGTTTCAATTAATTTGTGATGAATGAAACTCTGAGATTTCTAGGTTTATTTGAGAATGGGTGGTTTGTAATATGAGTTTTATTTACGGGTGAAATTCTGCGTAGTTATTTAGTTGTTGTTCATTTGGAATAATGGGTCATGCAATCTCCTTCTGAACAAAATTCAGGTAGATGTTTTCACTGTAACTTTGATGTGTGTAGTGGAAAGTCATCATTAACTAATGTTCGGTATTTAGTTTTATGTTGAAAAGGACAAGTTCAAAAGACATAATCATCTAATCAATGGAAATTATTAAAAAAATCTTCAAGTTTTTACAACATTAATAATCATTCAAACATTATCATATATATACATATATATGCTTTGCCAATTTCCAATAGCAAAGCTGGAAATGTCCAATTTATTCGGGATAAAAAGTTATTTAAAAAAAAACTCCATATTCAAATGCATGTGTATCACATGACAAATAACAACAACAATAAATCAAAAAATTTTAGGTAGCTGATTGATCCTACATGATTATAATATGCAGTATATTCAGTACTGGAATTTGTATCAAATATTTTTCTATTATAATCTGTTAAGAGAGTTTTTCAAAGTTAATTATTTTTCATAAGAATAGTTCTCTAAATTTTAAAATAAATTCAATGAAAAAACTCACAATATTTGAAAACATATATAGATATATTTATATATATATATATATATAACAAAATAAAAATCTTATTAGTTTTGGCAAACCATACTTCTACATTTACATTATTTTATCTTTATAATATTTTTAACTTATCATCTTACAAACTAAACCATGTTTAATGCTTTATAGAATAATTTGTCATCATGTAATTTTCCTTCTTAAACAACAATGTGTATATATTTACACACTTCCCTAAAAGTAAATCTATCAAGATTCATTCTTATTCATATCTTTGATGGCAAAGTTATGTTTCTAAAACTCAATTGCACATATCAAAATGAAATTTGTAGGTTTATCACAAGGCCTTAATTCAAATTCAAATTGATGTAACAATCTAAGTTCCACCACTTCATTTTCTTGTTAAGAAAAAAATCTTGAAGGCATCATTTCCAATGCTTGTTTAAAAATTAACAAGGCTTAAAACAGAAGGAATCAAAACCTAATTACTATCACGACTAATATCCAAGTATTATTAACTTAATCACCAGCAACAACGCCAGTAAAAATACCCCACACCATGAAACAACTGAATCAGTGAAAAAGCCATTCATTCAGTGTCAAACTATCGGCATGGATCTGACCCAACTTACACAAGTTTTAAATTCTAAAAGTACGGGACCAAACTTATATAAAAATCTACACAAAAAGAGGTCTGAAGTACGAAGGAAAAAGTGTGCTTTCATGGACGCGCGTCGATGGCCGCGGCCGGCGTTCGGCGTGGACAGTGCACCAGGATTCCAGTTTCGGCGGCAGCCTTGAAGCCGCGCGTTCGCGGTCGCGGCCGTCAAGCGATGGCGGAAGTCGACTAGGCATACAAGTATGGCGGGAGCCGGGGCGTCGCGACTGCGCGGAGACGAGTTCTCATCGGCAACGTGCAGCCGAAGGCTTCGTCCATGTCGATGCGGGCAACGTCGGGTGGGAGAGACCAGTTGAATCCGTGGTAGAGCGTCGCCAGCGTCGAGAGTACCATGCTGCTGCCTAAGATGTAGCCGGGGCACTGGCGACGGCCATTGCCGAAGGGGAAGATGCGGAATTCGGGGTCCTGGACCTGGGCCAAGTTTTCTCGCTCCCATCGCTCCGGTTTGAATTCCAAAGGATCCGCCCAAATCTCGGGGTTTCGACCCAACGAGTAGAAGTTCATGAGGACTCGAGTGCCCTTCGGCACGTGGTAACCGTTCAGCTTAGTATCGGCCATCGTCTCGCGGGGGATGCCGAAGGGACCCGCTGGGTGGAGTCGGAAGGTCTCCTTCGTTATGCACATGAGGTATGGCATGTTTGGAAGGTCGGATTCCTGCACGTTACGGTCGCGGCCTACCACTGAGTCGAGCTCGTTCTGGAGCTTGCGCTGAATCTCCTGGTTGCGGATGATTTCCGCCATGGCCCACTCGTTTGTCACTGCGGATGTGTCCGTTGCGCCCGCTAGCATGTCCTGCGTGCCAAGCATTTTGGTTATCGTTTGCGGAATCGTGTGCCATTTTGTTACTCGTGAGTAAAGTGATGTTTGACAGTTTTTCATTCGCGTGGTGAGCTTACTTGTAGGAGAGCTTTGATGGTTTTCTCGTCCAGGTGCGGCTCTCCATTCTCGCCTGGAAGGTCCAGCAGGACGCTGATGAAGTCGTTCGGCTTTCCTCCTGGCAGCTTGCCAGATGCCAGGTCTCTATGCTCTTGAATGACGGCGTCAAACACCTCATCAAATTCACGCCGCAACTGCGAAATACGTTTCATCCCATGAGACACCGTATTAGAACAGAGTAAATAAATGTAAAATAAAAATACATTGAAGTAGCGAAAAAGAAGACGAATGAAGAGGGGAAGATCCTGAATCTCAGATTTTTCTTGTCAGATTGCATGGGAAACAAGGTTGCACCGAAATCAACGCACACTGCAACATACCTTGCGCATATCTCTCTCGAAACCTTGCAAGTCCAGCCACCCAAGAGCTGGCACAAAATCCCTTAGGTTCAACACTCCCATCAATCGAAACAATTCATGGATAAGATGCTTAAAATCCCGCGGCTTATCTTCTCTAGCAGAAAAGTCCCGCCTCCCTACCAACATTCTACACATCACCGTCATCGACACGCCCGCAAAGACATCCCTCATGTCTACAACGTCGCCACTGTTGGCCGCTTCTAAAATGGCCTTTACCATGCATCTCCACTCCTCCTTGCGCTCTCCCGCAGTGCTCTCAAGCCGCTTGTTCGTCAGAAGTTCATGCACGCAGATTTTCCTAACATGCCGCCAGTGGGGACCATACGGCGCCATTGCAAAATCGTGGGCATCGTAGGCCACAAGCTCCGTGAACGTCAAATGCGGTCGCGATGAAAACACATTGTCCTGTTCCCTGGTGATCTCCCTAAAGAGCTCGGGACTGTCCATCACAATGGTTTGGACGCTGCCCAGACGTAGGTACACAAGGTGGCCGTATTTTTTATGCAATTCAGTGACGGTCTTGTGGGGGAGCGATCCCAACTGCAGCAAATTCCCCACAAACGGCAGTCCTTTGGGACCAGGTGGAAGTTGCAATGGCTTCCGGAACCGCGAAAATAGGAAAACTGAGCTCACCAGCGCCACCAACACAGAACATGTAGTCATCAGCAAGCGACTCTCCTGGACCCAATTCCAGACGACGCCGCCAAAGAGCTCCAGAGATACAAGGGTATCCATATCCTCGAAGCACACAACTCAACGAGCTTAAAACTTTGTACTTAATTTCCCTGTTCTGCGACGGTGACGCAGTTACATCTCACCAGGCTCCAGCAACAGCACACTACTACACCGATCCCATGTGAAAATATAGTATCAACTCATGGGTGCTTTCACAGGCTTCATAGAGAAGCGCATGAATCGACTCTCCACCACAACTCAAGAAAACGTCCACGGTCCGATCTTGGTAAGTCCCGACACTGTACATATACCTGTCGATCAGCTGGTTGAAGTCATCGCTGCCGCAACCTACCACTCACTCCAGCAATAAATCCAGCACATGTCATGCTGCAGTCGTGTAGGGAAATACGGCACAGCCAAAGTCGAAGGTCTACTTCAATGACTGCACAAAGATCAGGATTGTCTTATTCCTTAAACAACTTCTCACTCCTGTAAAGTCACTCGATTCTGTGGCTGATGTGAACCAGTCCCTCGCAATTTGGTGGATCTTAACTTCTTTGAAAAGTGAGTTGCTGTGGAAACGCATGAAAGATCATCACACAGTTGAAGTTTCCAAGCTATTTATGTGGAATTGGTGAGAGAGCAAGTAGTCCGGTGCCGGCACTCTCCAAGCCTTCACCAACTTAAGTGAGGCTTTTGACGAGTAGTGAAACCTGCGGCGGCGTCTTGTTGTTATAACGAATTGGTTCCAACTGGTTTTTACAACCCCCACTTTGTCCCACCTCTTTCTGCCAACCACTTGCCATGAGCTGACTGTTAGCACAGGTTGACCTTGTTTTAAGGTAGCCAACCCATTGTCGACCATCCTCCCCCATTTCCAACATATTGGCTTACATAATTTTGTTAGTCCAGCGATTAGGTTTGACATTTTATTCATTGGAAATAGGTTGGAGGTTGGTTAAAATGATGTTTAGCTATGAGCTATAAACAAAAATTCATTGTACTTGAAATGGGTATGCATAAATTATCAATAGGTGGCAATTGTTGATTGGTTGGGATGGAATAATAGTATAATTAGATATCACACATCATGGTTTTTTAAAAGTTAGATTTTTGGTTTTGTAATCTACCACCAGTCAAAATTATATTCTAAAATGCTTAAGTTATCAAAAATGGATTGTCTACTTTATATTTCATTTCTATTTTTGTTCAATTTTGCATTTTGCTTACACATAGTTTTAGTCTTCCAATTATTAACTTAATTACATTTTATATCTTCCATTAAATCTTTCTTTCCATGCATTGCAAATTGTGAATCTGGAATTACATTACATAGTTGCAATGCTTACAAAGAAAAGTCTTAATAGGATATTGAGTTTTATACTTAAAGTTTGTACTAAAATTCATAAGTTGAGTAAAGTAATCGAGTTTATATATTTTTAGTTTGATTATATATATATATATATATATATATATATAAAAGTAGTAGTGCTTTTGGAGTATTGGATATAAATTGACATGCTATAGTTTCATCTTAAAGTATTTTTTAAAATTATTAAATATATGTTACTTATTGTCGCATGATCTATAATAAAATTTTATTACATCTACTTTGATATAGATCCAACCTCTTAAAGATTTTTAAACATTAAATTTTAAGTTCTAAAATGAGTTATGAAAAAAAAAAAAAATTAAAAATTAAAAAAACATAAATTTTAAATTTTTTTTAACCATTATTCTTGTCCTATAATAGTGCATTAGCAAGAATAAGCCTATAGAGCCACCATGTATTATACACTAATATTTTCATGGTTTTGATTATACCATGTATTATATAGTTTTAATAATATTGAACATATAAAATTTATTTGAACTATTTGAAATCAAGTGACATTCAATTGCTATAATTATCCTAAATGTATTATAAAATTATGTATTGTTCTAAGAATTTTATTGTCAAATTTTTATTTTTAATCATTATTTCTAAATTTTCACTTTAAAAAAATATAAGTTAAAGAATAGTTATCTTACTCTTTTTATTTAAAAATATAGGTATTTTGAGAAGTATTTTTTTGAAAGTTGAATCCAATACAATCAACATTAGATATTTTATTATAAAATTTCACAATATTTTGTAAAGATTTTTAATATAGTTTCTAATCCAAATAAAATAAATTCTATTGATATTATTCCACAGCTAGAGTTTTAAAAATTAAATAATAAATTAACCAAATATTTATTTTTAGATATATTTTTAATATTATTTTATAGACTTTGATATTCATGATATTTTTTTGAAACTACTTGCATAAACCTAAAGAATATAAAGAATATAAATAGTAATTTACAAGATTTTAATATTCATCATAATAAAATTACAATGAAATCATTCTTTATAAGATTTTTTTTGTAGTTGCCACAAAATATCTCTAATATACCTATAATATATATATATATATATATATATATATATATATGATATTGCTAATTTTTTTTAATGTAATTTTGATAGAAAAAATAAATTATGTTTTAAAATTCTAAAATTAATATGTATATATATATATATATATATATATACATGCGTACACTAAATATGATATCTTTTTAGTTTTGTCGAATATTATCATGCTTTGAAAAAAATTGAAATCTTGTTATTAAAGGACTCAAAACATTAGTCACCAAAGACATCACTTTTCAGAAAACCTTAATATTTAATAGATCTAGAATAATATATATATATATATATATATATTATTAGAAATTTAAAATGTTTTTATTTTTTTTATTATATTACGAATCAAAAGTGCTGATGATTTTTGATATTGATAATTTTATGCCTTCATAATCATTAGCATCAAACTTATATTGACATCAGATTTTTTTTATTACTTTCTTCGCATTTTTTTTCATATACATTTAGTTTGTACAAAAACCGCATTAACCTCCACGAATTGGCTCTCCAACAATGTTTTGAATGATATTTTCCCTTTTTCAGATAAGATGGTAATTTTAAGGTAATTTTCAATAAACACACCTTCATTTTAAAAATTCTCTTTTAAAGCTATATATATATATATATATATATATATATTTATTGCGTTTACTGCTGAAAATGCCTTCTTTAGACTTTGCTAAGTATCTTAAGAGCAAGATTAAAAAAATATTATCTGATTTAAGAATCAGAGGTTTTGAAAAATAATCATTATCTGTAATTTTATATCAATTTATGTTTTTGTTTTGGAGATTCTTAAGCAATACAAGAAACTAAAAACATTCTTGAAGATCAATATGTCTATCTAAATAATAAGATACATTGCTTTTGACCATACAAGAAATTTTATGATTTTTAAAATGCAGATTTCAAAATTTAAACAAAATAAAATAAAGTATAACAATCAATTTTAAAGATCTGGTATAGTAAAAAGTATAATACGATATCCTTTAATGAACATATATATATAAACAATTATGATTGAGGTCTTCTTTGGCTGACATAACCATAAAAATAAAGTACTTTTAATACCTTTTTTTTGAACAACTAGAGTGCAACTAAGTTGACCTGGCATTTTATTTTTATCAATGCATCAAAAACATCATTTTCTATTAGCACTACTTAAGAAAGTTAAATAGAAAGTGATGAGCTTCAAGTTTTACTAAAAATATTATACATTACATTGTCTAATTTTTTTATCAATCTAAATTAATAAGAAAATGGAAATGAAAAATGAATACTAATATAACTTTTAAAACGTCAAAAGTTTAAGTGAGAGTTTAAAAAAAAATCTCCAATTAAATCCAAACAAGTATATTCTTCTATATATTTTATTGATAGAACTTTTTTAGAATCCACTTATTCATTTTTAGCTTTTCTACATCATAGTCTAATTACTATCTTCTATCATTATCATAATTGAACTCTTTTGCTTGCACTGATGCATTGCAAAAGCCAAAGAACCCAATATCTATTGTTTAGTCAAAGTTTTTATTGAATATAAATTATTGATTATTCATTTTCTAGGCAATTCTTTAGTACAACTAATCAAAAAAAAGAAGGGGTGGTTGACATATTTAATTTTCAATTGTGTTTAGTTTTTATTGTTGTGAAATGTCATTACCAACCATCAATACTTAAAATTGCCCGTGTATTAGATTTACAAGTTGAGTGAAATGGTTTAGTGCTTCTTTTCTTCTTCTTTTTAATTTATTTTTAATTTAATTTTTTTCTGAATATATTAACATAAAAATAATTGATGGCACCAACATAGAAAATTAACAAATCTCTTAGTAATTAGAGTTTGCAGTAGCCATCTACAAAAGATAAACCAGAATTTTTGTCATTGTTTTGAGAGGTTGGAAAACATTGAAGAATTGTCTAAACACTGATTGAGAATGTACAAGTTTGTTCATCCTGTTTGCACTACTGCTGGTTTAATATTGGAGATTTAAAAAACTAGATAAATGGTTATGATTTATAGATTACTTGGGTTAATTTTCATACTGGTTACATGGTTACATGATATTTAAGATGTCCAAATACTATTTACAAATATATACATACTACACATCACTTACAATGCAAACATATTTTGCATTGTATTTTTACTGATTCAGCATCAATGTACATAGATGAGTGGTTATTTTAACTTTGAAAAGCAAGGAACATAAAATAAACAAAAAACATTAACACACATTCCTTTTTGCCTAGTCATCAAGAAGAAAAGCTTCTAAAATCATTTTGTTTGCAATAGTTTGAAACACCTTTAATCTCAACTCCAAAATTGCAGTCAAATGATAACTACATGACACTGGACAAACTAGATTTCACAATGCAATGGAAAGCCAAAGTTACACAAAAAAATTAAAATTCATTGCATTCTATTAATTTTTTTATTTATTTGATTATTTTTCTCCCTTTCTCTCTCTCTCTCTCTCTTGCTCTATTAACTCATTTACCTAGTTTCAAGTCTGGAGCACACTTTCAAAGCCTTTAGACAAAACGTCTAGAGATTCATAAAGTTGGATTAAAGTTGGATTAATCCAACTTTATCTGTATCTCCTCTACCAAGAGCCCTTTTTAAATTTCCAAGTCAGTGTCAAATCACCCTCCTTTGTTGAAACCTTTGGGTTGAGATAGTATTTGTGTGTGTACAGATTTACTTAGATTTATCATACACTTTTGTAGAACAAAATATGTATTTATCTGATGAGAACAAAAAAGAGTTCACACAAAATGATTTTGTATCAGATTATGAGACTCAACAAGTG